ATGCATGATATGTGGATGCGATGTTTTCAAGGATCTCGCGGGGTAAACACAAGAAGATGTTAGAAGTTAAACTTTGATCACAACTTTGATTGAAGAACTTCGTATTATTGGATGTCCTTCCATGAGAATCAAGCTCACCATGTCAAGTGGGTCATAGCCCTCGACTCAAGTTACCTGCTTTGGTCTTTGAGAGCGTTTGGTGGGAGGAGAATAAATCCTCTTGCCCCTTGATAGACGTTTGGTTCATCACGACCTTGCATCATAGGCCCTTGAGATCATTGAAATGGTCAGTGGAAATGATATGGTATGATGTTATGATGTTATGTACAAGTGAATAAAGCAAACAAGTCTTTATGTACAAATAATCGTATACAAACAAAGCAGACAAGTCCTTAGGTTTAGGCGTGCATGGAGTTCATAGGTAAGTACCCTCTTGAAGTTTAGTTGGCTCAACCTGTCCTAATAATAGTAATCGGGTTCTAAGGAGTCTCAATATCACTGACCTTTCTTTTAGGCATTATTCTAGCTCAAGCACTGAAGTATTGCGGCCAGAATATCCCAAAAGTCCAATCTCAATGAGTGTAGCATCGAGTATCAAGCAATCTTAGGTCGGAACCAAAGCCGACTATCTCACTATTTTCGAATGGCTTAGGATGAGTCAATTAAAGGTTTTAAAGGTCAGTTAGCGCTTAATGACACTACAAGTAAGCCTAATGTTATCCTTGACCGACTCAACGAGCATTAGTATAAACCAGAGCATCACGCTAACGTAGCTATCACTTCGTCCATATCGGTCTACGCTATACAGCCTCCATAATTTATTGCTACTTACCTAAAAAGGTTCCCCAGATCCGGGTGTAGGATCTTTAACAATAACCCAAACAAGGACCCATAATATAAAGAAAGCAAGTCAAACAAAGAAATCATTTATAAAGGTGATCTAGCTCTAAGGTAACCCCACTTTTAAGTTTATTCCCCAACAAAGTCACCAGTTCTATAATACGGTGGGAGAACTGACTTGGGTGTTTTGCGTTTGATCGCAATTATTACGAATAGCAAGAGTCGCCATCGACTTTTCTTTTATCTAATAAAGGAAAGGGTGAAAAGAACAGGAAAGACCTTTAGAGATGTTTTCTTGAGTTCGGGGGGTAGGTTATGAAAAAGGAAGGTATTAGCACCCTTTTCATCCGTAGTTATCTACAGGCTCTTAGTTGCTTGCTAGATCACTTTTTCTTTGTTTAAAAAATACGCTTTGTGGTGGGTTTTGAAAGTATTTTGAAAACGCCTTTGTTTCGGTAAACTTTGTAATGATTCTCATCTCTATAAGAATGCATACAAAGTGTTGGTTTTGAAAATAGTTCAAAGAGATGTTTGTTTTTAAAGATGTTTTGAAAGTGTAAGTGTGGAAATGGTTTTAGTTTTAGAGAAAGCAACTACGAGCGTCCTACCTACTCAAAAGGTCTATGTTCTCTTCCTCCTCCTTTAGATGTTGCTATCTAACCATTGATTGGTAAGAAGCACCATCGTTGGATGTGAAGGGACGGGCGTGGGTCAATTGTATAGTCATAGAAGGCAACCTATGAGACGTTTTAGCAATTTTGTAAGGGACTAGATCGTTTACCGAAGGCAACATCGAGGGACTATGGTCATTTTATCGAGGGTCTTTGCTAAAATTCCCATATTCGAGGGACATGACTATTTTCCGAGGCAACAAGTGAGATTATCCTAGAGGTGCATGTGTGTGAATAGTGTGTTTTATTGCATGCATTTTTTGTCTTTGATTAGGTTGTCTACTTGTTGATTTTAACTCTTTCCATACACACCCTAATTACTAGCATATTATATTAAAGCGGTAGATTGTGGAAATTAAAATCCTAAGCTATTACATCAGTTTAGGGGATGGTGGATACAAGTGTGCAAATGGGGTGAAAATCAATACAAGTCCTAATTATTACAACCATATTGAATAGCAATAAAAGAAAATGTATAAAAAATATAAAGACAAAAAATAGCGCAAAAAAAAGAGAGAAAGAACAAGTATTTCGATTCCTGCAGCATGGTCGAAGCATGTGTCCTTCGATTCACACACACCCCTTTTATTTTATTTCGTTTGGGGCCTGCAAGTCAGAGTGTTTGAAGTATGCACCTTTCAATTCACACGCCCCTTTTGCTTTCTTTCATTTGAGACTATGAAGCAGTGTGAATCGAAGCCTACATCCTTCAATTCACACAACCTCTTTTCCTTTCTCTTGGGACTGTGAAACAAGTATGGGTCGAAGCCATGCTAATATTCTTTTATGGTCTGTATAGGTTAGTTCTTAACATGTATTCGGAAAAGAAAATAAAACAAACGAAGGGGTAGAAACGAAAAATAAACAAAAGGTTATTTACATGCTTGAAACGAAAGGTTTAAAGTCAAGAAAACTTACCTTGAATCTGGAGTTGATGTTTTGAACTTTGAGTGGTTGCCTTAGATATCCTTGAATTCGAAAACAAAGAACAGGGGTGTTGTGTTTCTTTGATTCTTGATTCAAAAGCAAAGAAAATAAGTGTTGTGTTTCTTTGGTTCTGGATTCGAAAGAACAAAAACAAAGGTGTGGGTATTTTAGTTATGGTTTTAAGAGTGTTTAAGTGTTCTCTCCTCTCTTTTCCTGGCCAACAAAAACTCTCTCTAGCCACTGAAAAGCCACCCCTAGATGTATTGTAAAACATCTTATTTATAGAAGAGTTTGGCTGAGATTTGGAGGGGAAAACAAATGAAATTTGAACAAATTGGGTATTCTGTCTTCATAGCCTTCGAGGTACAACTCTTGTATGCCAATTTGGTGCAAATATGGGAGCAGCATAGCAGGACTGCTTTGCAGCAGTTTTTGAGTGTTGTGGCAGCTTGGTGCAAGACTATTTCATAGTAGTGCAACAGACTTGGACTTGACAGCACATAGTACTTTGTCCAGCAGCCTTCGATTAGACTCATCAAGAGAGAAAACATCAATGGTATGTTCTTCGAATGGACCCATTATATGTCCTTCGAATGGACCAATTGAATTTTCTTCTAATGGACCATATTGTATGTCCTTTGAAATGAACTGTATTGTGGGTTCTTCGAATCCACCAATTGTGTGTTCTTTGAATGGAGAAAATATGTGTTTTTAGAATCCAACAAATTCATGTTCTTTGAATTGACCACCAAATACGTGTTCTTCGAATCCAACAAATTCATGTTCTTCAAATGGGCCACCAAATATGTGTCTTTCGAATCCACCCATTGTGTGTAATAGTGTAGAAACTATGTGTGTTGAATGGTTTAGAGATGGAATCTAAGCAAGCATGAGGGAAGTCATTGCCTTGTGCATCGAAGCATGAGGGAAGCCATTGCCTTGTGCATGCTAGCATGAGGGAAGCCATTGCCTTGTGCCTTCTAGCATTAGGGAAGCCCTTGCCTTGTACATGCTAGCATGAGGGAAGCCCCTGCCTTGTGAATCGAAGCATGCACGAAGATAGCCAATGCCAAGTCGAAGCTTTGTGAAATCAAAGCAAGCTTGAAGGAGGCCAAAGTCCAGTCAAAGCTTAGGAAATTGAAAGCCCAATGTGATCCATGGAAGCTATATGGGGCATTAAAAATTCAATTGTACTTGTGCAGATTTGAACTTTTGAAAATCCTTGTTAGAAAAGTCTTGAAAAAAAGAGAGGGCAAATTTTGAGGTACAATAGTGTCGGATTAAAGGTCTTCTTCCACTCTAAGCTCCTTCAGAAGTTTTTTCTTAGACACTCTTTGTAGGACACTTGTTTAAAATATAAATCGCAGTAGCAACATCTTTTGCCCAAAATTTCTTAAGAATTTGCTTGGCCTTCAACATGCATCTCACCATATCCATGATTGTTCTATTCTTTCTTTCAGCAACTCCATTCTCTTAAGGCGTGTATCTTGTTGTTAGTTATTGCTTAATTCCACATTGTTCTAAGAAACTTGTACTAGCGAGGTATTCTTGGCCTCCATCTGTTCGTAATGCTTTGATTCTATAAGCACTTTGTTTTTCTATAAATTCCTTCAATGTCTTAAAGACATCACATGCTTCTGATTTTTTTTCCAAGAAATACACCCAAGTCTTTCTACTAAAATCATCAATAAAAGTAATAAAGTATTTACATCCACCTGGTGTTGGTATTTCCACTAAACACAAGTCTGAATGAATTATCTATAGTAACTTATTCGCTCGCCAAGACATTCCAGCTGGAAATGAATCTCTATGCTTCTTTCCAATTTGACAAGCCTCATATACTTCATTTGAAATATTCACAATAGACAATCTGGAAACATATTCTTTTCTCGACAGGTAATTCAAGTTAGAAAAATGAAAGTGACCAAATCTCATGTGCCATAACTAATCATCATTTGGAATGATATAACTCAAGCAAGGAAACTTTTCATGTTGAACTTTTAAAGGAAATAGGCGGTTCGGTGTCATTCTTACCTTTGTGATAAATCTGCCATTTTTGTCAATCGACGTGCAAAAACCATTGTGAAATTTCTTGTTGTAACCTTTCTATAAAAGTTGTCATATACTCAAGAGATTATGATAAAGACCATGAGCATAGAAAATATAACCAATAAAATTTTGAGATCCATCTTTCAACCTGATAGAAATTTGGCCTTTCCCCAAAATTGGAAAATTTGAATTGTTTCCAAACTTCACGATAGATTTTACTGTTTCGTTTAGAGAAGAAAATAATTATTTTTCTCACACATATGATTACTACACTCAGTATCCAGATACCAAATATTTTCCTCTTCTGGAAATTTATTACTTGCCAAAAATTAATTTTGTGGATTTTCAAAGTACTCACCGGTATTTTGATATGAACTTTCTAGCACATTTTCCTGATATTTATATTTGCAATCAGTTGTTTTGTATACAAACTTTCCACAGTGATAACAACTATAATTCATCCTTTTTTTATTGTAGTTGTCTCTTCTTCTGCCACAGTATGTAGATCCAAAACTATGTATTGTAGTTGTCTCTTCTTCTGCCATGGTATGTAGATCCAAAACTATGACCACCTCTTCCAAGATGTGTTGGAATGAAACCGTTGAAGTTGTTGTCTCTCCATTGGTTAAAGTTACCACGTCCTCTACCTCCAAAATTTCCTCGGCCCCTGCCTCTATAATTTCCTCTTCCTTTATTATTGGAATTATTTTGACCTCTTTCTTCTACAGTACGACTTGACTCATAAGTGTTGTTGAAATTTACCTGAGTCTTGAGAGCTTCTTCTTTTACCACTTTCTCGGTATTTTTTAATATTTTATTGACGTGACTTTCAATGCTTCCTTGTAACTCTGCTACTGACAAAGTGTCTGTATCGTGTGACTCAATTATCATAGTCACCATATGGTCAAATTTCACCGGCATCGTATGTAGAATTTTTTTCTACCACTTTGTTATCTAGAATATCTTCTCCATATACTCTCATCTTATTGACGAGATTTATAACTTGAGAAAAATATTGTTCTACTATTTCTGAATTAGACATTCTGTACCTTTCATAATCTCTATGTAGCAATTGTAATTTGGACTTCTGAGCCTTCTCTACTCCACTTTGTTATCTAGAATATCTTCTCCATATACTCTCATCTTATTGACGAGATTTATAACTTGAGAAAAATATTGTTCTACTGTTTCTGAATTAGACATTTTGTACCTTTCATAATCTCTATGTAGCAATTGTAATTTGGACTTCTGAGCCTTCTCTACTCCTTTATGTGATAACTTCAATATGTCCCACGCTTTTTTAGCAGTCTTGACATTTGCAATTTTTCTAAAGACCGAGTAATCAATTCCTTGGTGAATATGTGAATGTGTTAATTGGTCCTTTCTACGAGCGACTTCATCAGCTCCTTGTTGTAAACCGGAATCCATAAAACTCCAAACATTATGAGTTTTAGATGCGTTGTCATCAAAATTTCACGGTAACTAAAATCTAATTCTACATTTAATTTTGGACCGTATCAGACAAAATTGTAATTGTTTATCATATCTCTCTCAAAAAATACACATAATAATTTTTGATACAATAAAAATTCTTTTATTCCTCGTACATTCAAAAATATTTTTGACACTAAGACTAACCAGACCTATTCTTGATATCAAATGAGACTTAATAAAATTCGCACACACTAATAAAAAAGGAGAGAGAGGATACTTTTATGAACTCACTAATTTTTTTCAAACTTCAAAATCTGATAATTTAGAAGCTAAGCATAAAATGCCTTTTATATAGGCTTTGAAATGGAAACTTAAAGGCTAAGAGAGTTAAAATGTAAGCAATTAATTGAGACGGTGATGCAAGCTGTAAACTAGCTTTGTTTCTTAATTTGTAAGTTTTAATACTAGATAATACTTCTATCAACTTCTAATGGACAACTCATTGGCTTCCTAATTCTTCTAGTCAAGTCCACTTAAATTTCCCATAATTTTTTATCAACTTCTAAATAATACTTGATTTAATTAATTCCATCATTCATTTGTTCTTAAAATACACGCGTTAGCTAAATCTTTTTTCAGTACCTTAAAATACTCAAATGCTATGTTTCACAAACCAATGTTTTTTAAACCCTGAGCAGAATAGGTGAACTAACTCTTTTTATGGAGCCACATAATAGCGACGTTGGACTCGGTAGAATCAAGAAAGCACAAGTTTAAAGTTCACTTTAGCTTAACATTTTGGATTAGTTTGACACTTGATTATGTTGTGGTTGTATTATTAAAACCTTACTAGGTCTTAATTATATTTTCAGTTCTCAGAATGAGTACACATTTACTTGAGCTCATCTTATATTCTCCACTAGGCCTATCTAGTAATTTTAATCACCCTTGATGATGTGTTGGAGAATTTCCAAAATATAATTAATATAATATTTTGACTAAATTAGGAAACAATGGTCCAGTAGTTAGAATGATTATGGATAATGTTGATGTTTTTGGTTTGAATCTGGTTGAAAGCATTTTATGTTTTATTTGTTTATATTTTGAAATATAAAAATATTGCAAAAACCTAGAACCAATGAGAATCGAACTAGTGCCTGTTTAGGCCAAGGACACACTAATTCATAATGAATGCCACTAGACAGTTGCATCAATTTGATTTATATTTGTACATTATAATATATAGTGGTGCAAATATCTAGTGATTCAAAAGTTGTTTCCCTTTATCAAGCGGCATGGATTTCTCTATAAATAGAGATAATGTGTAGATTCAAATGATTACGAAAATTACTTGTTTTAAGTGCTAAATATTATATCTAAGTTATTCTTTTATTTTTCTAGTGCACGCGAATAAATGAGAAAATTTTATTCAGTAAAATATCGTTGATCGATATGTTTAATATGAATATGCAATTCATGTTAAGGTTTTCAAAGTATTCTGAAGGGGATTCGCCGATTAACTCATTTGCATCCGATTTTCTTAAATTGGTGGAGGCGAATCGAGCCTAAAGCTTAGTGTAAACATATGCTTTGAAATTTATTTTGTGCAACTTTCTTCATACCGTTTTCATCTTCTTCTCGTTCATGTTTTGCAGCAGACTCCCAACACAAGATCTAACATGATAAACTATTGCTAGGTTTGGATTTATGTATGATTATTGGTTATTATTTTGTTATTCAACTTTTCCTTTTAGGTTCGGTTGCAGTAGTAAGTAAGCATCATTCTGTATTGTCTAATAACAAAGTTGCAGTAGGACTTCAATCTATCATGTTTATCGGTTGTCACCAAGTCTGTTTCAGTAGTTAGTTGGCCAATTTATATTAGCATGTTGAGGTTGTTTCTACAAACATTTCCATTGGGCCCTACCATATCAACAACTCCAACCATTGTTTATGTTACAGAAGTGAGTGAATTGTTCCTATTGTCTCGGCTTGTGCAGGATGGTGATAGACACCAACAAAGTTACAGTGGCCAGCCTGTGTGGGGGAAAAAGTCACATGCTGACCTTGAGGTGGAAGGTTGTAGAATGTGTGAGTACAACTTCGTCATCAAATGTTTTGAATGATGTCAAAATTGGAAAAAACTAACACTTCTGTACATTGGACGGTATTCTTATGTTTTGTGGCATTCCTCTATATTAGAGGTCTTAGGAATCATTAAAAAACATTTTAAAATTAATCCAAATCATTAAAAACAAGTTTCTGCATAATGTTTTATTGCATGTGTCGACACATCCGCTTTTCAGGTCGACACATGCAACTCATTTTTGAAGTCTGTAACCTCTAGAAGACTCAGCTCGACACATGCATTGCATAGGTTGACACATACTGAAGCATTTCTGAAATTGCAGAAATTCTTATTTTATGTATCGACACATCCGTTTTTCAGGTCGACACATTTACTATCGTTTTAAAGCATGTAGCCTGACTTGGTTCAATCGACACATAGTCTTATACAGGTCGACACATACAACTTAAAAATTACATATGTGTCAACACATACGATATATAGGTCGACACATGTTGATTGTTAGGTCAATTATTTCAAATATTTTTAATTCCGAATTTGTCCTTTTTACCCTAAAAGTTTCAAAACTATAAATACTCATTCATGCATCATTCATAATTTCGGGATACCATAAAATTAGCCTACAATTTTTCTTCATCTTCAACCTCCAATTTCCATCTAGACGAGGTTTGATAACGTTCAATTAGATATTGGGTTGAGTTTTATAGGGGTCTTTGTAACACCTTTCTAAACTCAACGGAATATTCATAATTATTTAAAATAATATCAGAGTAATACAATAAAAGGGCATCACATTTTATTCGTGAAATAATCATATGTGCTAGTCTTACTCCGTAATACGAGTTTTCAAAATTATTCACGACATATGCATTATTAATGTTTCACACACTTGCAGCGGAATCATAGTCCAAACAAGTTTCATTAAAAATACTTCATAGTGCCCCATAATTCATGGTTCATAATTCAACATAATTTAAACATCATGGGAACAATTCAAATGTCATAACAAAACAAGAACAAAATGGTTTTCAAAACAAAAGCGTTCATGTCCCGGATGTTACATATCAGAGCAAGACCTTCTAGACTCAATCGAATTAAATCACACTCCAAAGCTATTCTTCCAAGCCTTTAGGGACTACTCTTGATTACCTGCACGTTATCCACGTAGAGGAAACATTCAATAAGAAAGGCTGAGTTTATCACAATCATTATATAAGACATAAGTAATAGACATAGCAGAATAAACCAAAAGTATCACAACATAAATTCAGCATTATTATATTCCAAGTACATCAACAATCATACAAATTCAACAACACAAGATAACATTATCAATTTAAGAACCATGTAATACCACATAAGATGTAATGCAAGGATAAAGACTCATGTATGTGGTACCAATTCATTTGATGGACACTGAGCCATAACCCTCAAAAGACCCCAATCATAGGATCAATTCTCACTTGGAAACGGAGAAAATAATAGACATCCAAAATCCATACAATGGGATTGAGACCAAATCACTGGACCAACATCCTAAATCATCAAAACCAAATCACTAGACCAACGTCCTAAATCATCAAAACGGACCAAAGTTTTCCCATGAATGTATGATGCACAACAACAAATATAAATAACCACAACTAGTCATACACATCATCATTCATGTATTAATCAATATCATACATAAAATATCATCATGAATACTCATGTAATCATCATATACACTCATGTAATCAAAACATCGTCATAACATTATCACATAATCATAATAGCAACATATCATCATAGTTAAACAAATCGCCATTGTAATTCAATACGGGGAACCTATTATTACTCTAACTTAGGTCTTATAGAAATATTCCTAAGTCTGCATTTTATTTCACCTAATTATAGTATATTATGTTATCTATGCACAACTTCGAACGACACTTCATTTTGAGCTCTAGAATTAAAGTTATGCTCATTTCAATACTTTAATCCAACATTCCAGCTCTGCCTCCCATCGCCCGGTGAAACCCATCCATCTCCTGATGAAACCCATCCATCGCCCAATGACAAATTACAGAGACCCACACCTCATTTTGCTTCCTTTCTTGCCTCCTCTTTTGCCCAACGTAGCATCGTCTCCCAACGACACAGGGACCGTCGTGCGGCGATCCTCTGCAAAAAGGGTTTTCTTGTTTGTGATTCTGCACTGCATTAGACCAATTTTCCCTACGATTTCGTCACGTGACAGTCCTAAAAGACTATCTAATCATGGGGAATGATCACCTAACATAAACTTGGTATACTACATCAATTATACCATAATTATGGGTCATCCATCATCACAATTCCATCAAATCTTAACCTAACAACATTAAATCACCATTGTCAATACTAATGGTGAATGCTA